AATTGGTTATAATAATAATTGTTTTCATTGAACCAGTCGCGTTCCGTTGACAAAAGTAGGTCACAACAGTGCTTTAGCCATGTCGACTCTGAGAAAATTTTGACTTTGTACGCAGTATTCCTTAGTCTCAATCCTGAAAGAGATAGAGAACTGTTAGACAAGATTCAAAGTACTATAAATAAGCTGACTCCAGGAACAGAAATCCCTCCATATGCTCGTCTGGCTAAACAAACCCCATTTCCTTTGTCATCTAGATGGCCAGAGGTGACTTGATCATAATATTTAAAATACGTAGTGATAAATCAAAATTTGTTATTTCCTCATTTTTCATGTTTTTCAAAGCAGATAACTTACGCGAAAAATCTTAAGAAGTTCACGAGCATAGGATCACTTACCTGTCAGCTGACTATCGACTCTCCGATTGAATAATAAACAAATGGAATTTGTCGCCTTAAAGATGCCACAAGTATTCGGTGTTTGACAACGCCTTCATACGTAACACCTTTAAAATCAAAGTATGCCCGGAGAGTTATAGTCTAATTCGATATTAGAACATTTTTCTTTATTGCTGTAATAACTGATCTAATCGTGAAATTGCAGATTTGTCATGAAGTGGCTACTTAATCTATCATATTTTACATAGGCGTCACATTGTTGTCTGTACCGTTTCGTCGTGTCACGTCAGTCAGCAATACGATTTTTATCGATTCTAAAGTACACATTTGGGATGGAGACCGAAATCAACCAACCCAGTCAAACCAGAAGTCAGAAATGAAGGGGTTCGAAGTTATAATTGAAAGGCTCGCGATATGTTGAGAAGTGTTTGGTCAAGGCTGGCTGACGGTTTCAAGGAATGCGTAGCATGGCGCGCCAAATCGTGATCTCATGCAAATGAGTGACCGAGCGCATTCAATTGTAGCGTGGTGTCGAGTTGAGCTTAACTATGAACACCGCTTCAAGACTACGTGTCAATTAACCAAAATGATCCTCGTAGACCAATATCAGAAGGCAGATAATAGTAGTAGTTGAAATATATTTGCTGGCAATCTCGTGGTATCGAAAGAATACTGAGATCGTGCCAAAAGAGTACAAATGCGATTGGCAAGGAAAGATACGTGCGTAGTCGAAAACCGCGTAGAAGTAATGGAGTACAATGGAGGACCAAAATGGCTGTTATTAGCACAGTTAAGCAAACGAGCACAGTAAAACAGTCACTGGTACAATTGGTTATAATAATAATTGTTTTCATTGAAGCAGTTGCGTTCTGTTGACAAAAGTAGGTCACTACACAATTAGGTGTGTCCAGTGTAACTAATGAGGTCAGTAACAATGTAGAAGGCTGACAGAACTATTTATTTCGGAGGTATATTTGTCACTTCAATCTCAACACGTGATTGAAACTGCATCTGTTGACTCTATGAAAAAACTGGATCAACTGAGAGACTACCGTTGCCAGGACTAACACAGGCCACCGAGCCTCCCGTCTTCCCAAAAAACCCAAACTAAACGAATAAATTTTGTCGCGACTCGAAAAAGTCAGCGAAAAAACAAGCCAACGACTAATGAGCATAAAGATTGTGGAAGTGATAATTCCAGATTCACTCTAATTGGTCTCTTATTAGACTGCCAAAGTCGCAAACCTTGGTTGCTAAGCCTTATGAATAGCGTCTCCATTTACTAAACCTCTACACATTAGAGTACAGGCGTACTAGAGGTGACCTTCTAGTGTCATACAGTATCCTTAACAATTCTGAACATTCTCTTCAACACTAAGTTAAGTTTAGCTCCAACAAAAACTTAAGAGGTAATACCAAGAAACTAGAGATGCAACACAGCAGCTTTCCTTTTTCATTGTTCAAATGTACTATTGATTAATTGACATCTTACTCTAATTCCCGAAGCCATGTGCATTTTTGTCTGTCGCATATCACATTGACTTGAAAGTCCAAGTCAGGACCTGCCTAATGCTACGGCTTAGTGAAGTATGTTCTATCCAAATGCAATGTCTTTTCGTATTTAACTTTTCAACTGCAGAATGGTTTATTCAATGACAGAGTAATCGGTTGCCGTGTCTGACCATCGAGTCTACAGTATGCTGAGCAGGCATCTTATTATAAATATATTTATTTATTAGATGATGGCTGTGGTATGTGTCAAGCTTTCAGGTTCGTATCGTAGGAGTGCTTTAAAGTTACTATTGAAAATTCTGACTTTCACGTTGGTTGACAATTTATTAATGTAAGTAAATTGCCTCTCACATAGTGCGGGTGAACTCGAAGTTGTCTGGTGGGGTAACTGTGCTAAGTGGAGTACCTCAGAGCACCCATTGTGTAAATGACCTAGTCGGTCGAGCTGTATGCTGACAAAGCAGATGTATGGAGGGCAGTAAAAAATAAAGGTTATAGATCAGAACTTTGAAATGATATAAGGATACTTTCTGAATGATCTTAAATCTGGCAGTTATCGAAAAATGGTTCCAAGGCACATCAATATACACAACAAAAATATTGTTTTGCTTGATGTTCCGACACATAATGACTTGGGAGTCATCGTTAGCCAAGACCATGAAACTTCTGCACAATTCCATATAACAGCCACTAAAGTTTTAGAACCCTACGGCCAATACGTAAGCGCTGTACCGTGGAGTCGAATCGCGCTTGATTATGAACACCGCTACAAGACTACGTGCCAATTAACCAATAAGATCCGCGTAGGCCAATATCAGAAGGCAGATGATGGCTGTAGTCAAGATGTATTTGCTGGCGATCTCGTGGTATCGAAAGAATACCGAGATCGTGCCAAAGGAGTACAAGCGTGGTTACTAAACGTAACCGGATTCGTACAAGTTCAAAGTCAACGGGAGGGTAAGTGTAATGACTGTCGTTAGCATAGTTAAACAAACAAGCACAGTAAAACAGTCACTGGTACAATTGGTTATAATAATAATTGTTTTCATTGAACCAGTCGCGTTCCGTTGACAAAAGTAGGTCACAACAGTGCTTTAGCCATGTCGACTCTGAGAAAATTTTGACTTTGTACGCAGTATTCCTTAGTCTCAATCCTGAAAGAGATAGAGAACTGTTAGACAAGATTCAAAGTACTATAAATAAGCTGACTCCAGGAACAGAAATCCCTCCATATGCTCGTCTGGCTAAACAAACCCCATTTCCTTTGTCATCTAGATGGCCAGAGGTGACTTGATCATAATATTTAAAATACGTAGTGATAAATCAAAATTTGTTATTTCCTCATTTTTCATGTTTTTCAAAGCAGATAACTTACGCGAAAAATCTTAAGAAGTTCACGAGCATAGGATCACTTACCTGTCAGCTGACTATCGACTCTCCGATTGAATAATAAACAAATGGAATTTGTCGCCTTAAAGATGCCACAAGTATTCGGTGTTTGACAACGCCTTCATACGTAACACCTTTAAAATCAAAGTATGCCCGGAGAGTTATAGTCTAATTCGATATTAGAACATTTTTCTTTATTGCTGTAATAACTGATCTAATCGTGAAATTGCAGATTTGTCATGAAGTGGCTACTTAATCTATCATATTTTACATAGGCGTCACATTGTTGTCTGTACCGTTTCGTCGTGTCACGTCAGTCAGCAATACGATTTTTATCGATTCTAAAGTACACATTTGGGATGGAGACCGAAATCAACCAACCCAGTCAAACCAGAAGTCAGAAATGAAGGGGTTCGAAGTTATAATTGAAAGGCTCGCGATATGTTGAGAAGTGTTTGGTCAAGGCTGGCTGACGATTTCAAGGAATGCGTAGCATGGCGCGCCAAATCGTGATCTCATGCAAATGAGTGACTGAGCGCATTCAATTGTAGCGTGGTGTCGAGTTGAGCTTAACTATGAACACCGCTTCAAGACTACGTGCCAATTAACCAAAATGATCCTCGTAGACCAATATCAGAAGGCAGATAATAGTAGTAGTTGAAATATATTTGCTGGCAATCTCGTGGTATCGAAAGAATACTGAGATCGTGCCAAAAGAGTACAAATGCGATTGGCAAGGAAAGATACGTGCGTAGTCAAAAACCGCGTAGAAGTAATGGAGTACAGTGGAGGACCAAAATGGCTGTTATTAGCACAGTTAAGCAAACGAGCACAGTAAAACAGTCACTGGTACAATTGGTTATAATAATAATTGTTTTCATTGAAGCAGTTGCGTTCTGTTGACAAAAGTAGGTCACTACACAATTAGGTGTGTCCAGTGTAACTAATGAGGTCAGTAACAATGTAGAAGGCTGACAGAACTATTTATTTCGGAGGTATATTTGTCACTTCAATCTCAACACGTGATTGAAACTGCATCTGTTGACTCTATGAAAAAACTGGATCAACTGAGAGACTACCGTTGCCAGGACTAACACAGGCCACCGAGCCTCCCGTCTTCCCAAAAAACCCAAACTAAACGAATAAATTTTGTCGCGACTCGAAAAAGTCAGCGAAAAAACAAGCCAACGACTAATGAGTATAAAGATTGTGGAAGTGATAATTCCAGATTCACTCTAATTGGTCTCTTATTAGACTGCCAAAGTCGCAAACCTTGGTTGCTAAGCCTTATGAATAGCGTCTCCATTTACTAAACCTCTACACATTAGAGTACAGGCGTACTAGAGGTGACCTTCTAGTGTCATACAGTATCCTTAACAATTCTGAACATTCTCTTCAACACTAAGTTAAGTTTAGCTCCAACAAAAACTTAAGAGGTAATACCAAGAAACTAGAGATGCAACACTGCAGAACGGACTGTAGACACGACGTCTACTCATTAAGAGTTGTCAAGTACTGAAGTTCGCGGCCGGCTAGGTTAGTCCAGGCGACTTCTCGGGAGTCTTTTAAGAGGAAACTGTAATTATTCTTCAGGACTAAGGATAATATCTTACTATGATTTACCAATTTCTTTTACCCTCTGTTATCGTTAATATATCTAGGTTCTTGCCTGGAGGGATAAGTGACCAACTGCTACTAGACGCGGGAAGTCGTTAAGTGAAAGCTTCTTCTATTCCGTCGACAACCATTTTAACAGTTTGACCATTGTGAGTCTTTTTCAAACACTGTACGCTGAAGGCCACTACTAGTGCGTAATATGAATAAACTGAGAACTGTGTTTTCCCGTGGTGGCCTTATCAATAAAATATGGAAGCGTTTTATAAACCTTCAGGAGTATCAGTGCAAAAAGTTGATGTCAGATCATGGCATTAACGTGCAAAGGTTCGTGCTTGTCAGGAACCCTAGTGAGGTTGATACGGCAAAAAACAATTTCAGAGTAGACTGTTATATGTTATAAATACCAAACTTACAGGTCAAAGAGTATGTTATAAAAGCTCAGATACCGGCAGGTGGTAGAGGAATGGGCGTTTTTCGTGATGGGTTTAAAGGTGGCGTCCATCTTACGCAGGATCCAGATGAAATGGCACTCATAGCGTCGAAGATGCTTGGAAACCACCTTGTCACTAAGCAAACGGCATCTTCGGGTATGCTTGTCAGTCAAGTGAGTTTACACTGTGTTCCCGGAATTTTTTGGTCCACTGTAGTTCTTCTTGGCAACATTGGAAGGGTTTCTTAGTAGACTAAATGTAACACCGGAGGCATGAAAATTGTTTGTATTGGTTTCTTTATAGTATTGGAGTTTAGATGTTCGTATCTACTTGTACAATAAGCGTGGTTTGTAAACTCAAAATTGTTCCAGCTCAAGAATTTGTAGTACTTTTACCCACTGAAGCTATTTCGTTTACAATAGTAAAGTTAAGAGCTCGACCGACCTATATTAATCCTTACAATTCGTAGTACTGAAAAGGTCCGACCTCACTATGAATGTATTACCAACAGGTTCTGATACTACATGTTCTGATACGGAATTTCGTAGAAACGGGACTTCAGACGTGAACGATTTATTCTCGGTTTTTGAACTTTTTAAGAATGTCCTGTCGAATGATCAGTCCTAAAGGGGGAAAATAACATATTAATGTCACGATTATCGTTCGGTGTATGGTAATACAGTATTAGATCACTGCATAACCTGAGTTAAGACAACGGGAACAGCTTGAAGTGTCTCGGTCTGTCCTCATAAGATAGGCCAGATATACCTTTTGCCATTTTGGCTCCTAACCGTCGAAGTCGTTCTAGCATATCCGCCTCATACTTGAGGCAATAACTCTCCGCTTGAATCCCATATTCTAAGTTTGGTCTCACAAAAGTCAAGCATGATACCCCAAGCATTTTGTCCAAGTAATGAAATGACTTATGAAAAGTCCGTAAGACCCTGAAGCTTTTGGCAACGGCAACCAACCTTGTAGTTATTTGTAGTTCCGATGCTTTTGTTTATTGTGGCTTCTAGATCCATGCTGTTCAGTCGACAGACTAATCAGACATTATGAGGTTTTCCTAGAACCAAGTTGATCGCTGGATGTAAGGTAATGCACTTTCATATAGTTTTATATAGCTACCGGTATAATCTTTTCCATTGGCTAGACTATCATGTTGACTGTTGCTAACTAATGCTTCATTCATCGCATTATAGCCCCCAAATACCTTGGTACGGCCGAGAGTGTCGGCTCTGCCTTTCCAAATGCTCTCTCTTGGCCGCGTGCATACAACCACTGCCAGGGAAGTCCTACTCACCACCTTCTTGCGGCGGTATTGTTTACGAAATTAAGAGGACGAAAAGCCTGGTTAATGGATATAGAGGATCTACCTAGGGGAGTTGAAAAACCCTGATTCCAAACCAATGGTGAATATAGGCTCCAAGATCCTGAGGGAACAAATGGCATACGAACCAATCATTGGTCACCGGCTGCTCCTGACGTTGCTCTTTTGCCTTGTGGATCAGACCCATAGGTCGAAGACTCCGGATGTGGCTCCTAAGAAAACACCTGCCTCGGTCTGGGCACCCGAGTGGTATCTCAGCCCTCACACAAATCGAATGATTTATGTAGCGCATATCTATTTGGTGCTTTCTTGCACCTATGTCTGTGTTTAACTAATAATGACGATATAATAATAATAATGATAATAATAATAATAATATCGCTTCATAAGACGAACTGATTATTGCGTCTCTCCATTCTCTTATCAAACTGGACTGCTGTTACGACAGGTCCAACATTACTGCCAGAGGCTCGACAGTTACGCCCCCAGGACCTCATAATCCTTGGATGAATACGTATCTGGTTTAATATGTTGAAGTATTAGTAAGATACTTCTTTTCTCAATGAGTGCGAGGATCCATAGAGTAACTACCTTCGTCATGATTAATTGTTGAACTTTCGCTTTCGTCGGCAAAAAACACTTCTGAAATATTCTGATAAAGCTTCAGGTTTCGCGACATCATTTCTTGCCAGTACCACTTAATTTGTTGTAAGAAAGTTGGCGGGATTCCATCTCTTCCCAGTTCTCCTCTTCATATATGAAGATGATCTTTTCGGGCTATTTTCATATACCCTAACCAATCGTTTTACACATGAATGTCTAGATTTACCCATCAAAGCTTTGCATGCATTCTTAGTCTTACAATGAATTGATCTGTAGTGTTCAGAGCCACTTCACGTTAGTATGGACTAAAATTTCTATAACAGATTGTTTTACACTTTTATCGGTAGATGTTAGCATTTCCCAGACGGAGTTTTAAGACTTTTGTCCATCATGGCAATTTTCATGGAGTATTTTGATAGGTCATACTGATAAGGCCTAACGTTATCAGTTTTTTGATTAAGTGTCGGTTCGCGCTCGTAATGATTATCCAGTCTACATTTAATTTTGCACTCATACTTTTGCGTGACCTTTGGTATTTTCTGGCTGGTTGCTACTATTAGTTATCTAATCTTTCTTACTGAACGTCATGCTTGTTTTCTATATGTGAAGTTGTTGAACTTTGAGTTATTTCAAATGAATATCAATTTTTCTCTGCATTAATGCCTTCCTTTTGAATTCTACCGTTGTTTATTGTTGAGGATTTGTTTGTGGCACTTGTTGCCTCCTCAACTTGTAGATAGACTTGATTCTATTGGAACAATCTTGATTGTTCGTAATTACGAATTACCATAAGGCCGACTTAAATCCAGCCGTAATCGCTCTTCTTGATACAACAAATTTTAACGTCAATTACATCAGATGATGGTTTAGGTATTTCCACCCCTCTTATATGAGGGGTGGATGAAAGCGTCAGATATTTTAGGACCATATTTTTGTTAAAATTAAAAATCAGGCAGTTGTTGATAGATGAGGTATAATGATATCCATTGACCAACAGATCATGCTCGTGTAACTTAATTATTGCCACAAGGCTCTATATTAACTGATATCAATGCATGACACAACTGAACGAAATAAAGTTTATTTTTAGTAAATGACACAAAATTTTAGTACGGAAAGGATTTTTATTATATATCGTTTGAAACTAAGTGAGTATATGATGAGTTTTCAGCTGAACTATCTGTCAGTGAAATTACATGAATATCAAGCTTTGTTCTTGCTCGCTGTAAATTTTCTGCAGGAATTCACTGGTATCATACGTTTCCTTAAAACGTTGATAAACTCCACAACCCTTCGTTCATTGATTATTATTTTATCCATTTCAGCAGTCAATTTTTATTTCGGTCAATATAAAAAATTCCAGGTAGCTCACTAATATATTTAAAAATTATAAAACCGTAATTTAATTATAATTAGCAGTCAGTCAGCTACAACATACGACCAGGTACATATATGCATCGGTCCAAGTTGCCATACCTTATTAGCATAGCAAGATGAACACCGGATTCATAGAAGTTGTTAATTCAGTGGTGGTAATATATAAATGAAAGATCGCATATAAGGATATAGTACAGAAAGAAAGAATTAGTTCGTAGAAAGAAAGACATAAAGCGACTTTAATCTCTTAGTTTAAGGGAGGACAAAGAGTTTGTACACCTACGACATTGTGATCGATTCTGAACCATATCACCCAGAGTCTCCAACCATTGGTTACGATAGTCACGCGGATACTAACCAAGTAGTCTGCATCTACCAACATGGCTCAGACTAGAAGTTAGTACCTTCAAGCATTGATGCCACGTTTTGGTTTGGTGCCCCCAACCTTCTTCCAAAAGTCTTCAACACCGGTTAGCATTGCACGTCGTGGTAATCGGTGTTCAGGCATACGCAAGACGGTGCCCAGACATCTCAGTGGACGATGTTAGATCTATAATTAACACGTCTGTCATTAAGTTTTTTATCTAAACTCAGAATCGTCATTTTAGTATTGTTATTTCATTCAAATAATTTTGTTAACCTCATATCATCTACCAACCTCTATCAACCGCAATGTTTTTGTCACCACAAAACATAAATGCCAAAAGTCTCTTAAGATATACAGATTGATTATGAAGGTTCATTATAAATATGAAAAGAATCGATATATTCATTTATTATTATGACCCAAGTAAATCCCTTCTTATTTATAAGTTATCTTAGCAGTTATTTTTCTCAAGTATATTATTATGAATTTCTTCAGGTCATGGTAGCAGAGGCACTTGATATTCACCGAGAAACATATTTTGCTATTTTAATGGATCGAACATCTAACTCCCCAATCATGGTAGCATCTAGCCAAGGTGGAATGGATATTGAAGAATTAGCTAAACGTTGTCCATCTGAGATTATCAAGGAACCTATTGATATAAGTGTCGGAGTAACTGGTTAGTATACGAAAATTACTTTTCTTCTTATATATCCACTAAAATACTCAAATAATATTTGTGGAATATTAAGTAACATACAAACATTTTCATGTTATGAAATTGCAACTCAGTGATAAAGCAAATAGCTTTTTTAATGCTAGTTTATTGGAATTATCAGTAATAAATATTTATGAATAGTTATTTTCAAAATTGTTCTTATCAACTCTTTTAGCTCATTTACTAGTCAAACTTCACAGTTCGTCTACTTCACTATTCAAGTAAAATTTCATGTTATCATAAGTGTTATTTCAAAAGAGTGAACAGATTTATACTTATTCTTATGTACATTTTTGATTTATCGAGTGTTATATATATATATATATATATATATATATATATATATATATATATATATATTATAAAGTGTGTGGTCAATATGTTTGCTAGAGGTAAGTACAGATCTCGAGAAAATGTGTTTCCCATCAATCAAATGGCTATTTTGAGTAATGAAAAATTAATGAACTTAGCAACAATTTTAGGAAACATTATTCATACTATCATTGTCCACTTTTTAACCAATCAACTAATTTTTGTGTTTTGTAGAGGACCAGGCATCGAGATTCGCCACAGCTCTGGGGTTCAATCCACATACTCAATTATATGAACAAGCCTGCAAACAAATTCAAAAACTGTACAAGATGTTCACAGCTTTAGATTGTGTTCAGGTTAGTCATATGGAGATAAACATCTTGATGTACCGATAGACTAAAAACTGGCTGACCAATCTTTTAGTATACACTCAAACTAGTTAGTCCCATTCAGTCTTTTGACAACTAGTCAGAATCCTTGGTAGGCGTTTGTAATTAGATCTGTTCTCCAAAAACCACTGCTGCCTACTAATATTTTGCTTATGGTTACATCATGAATTTTGTGTCACGATTTGTAGTCCTAACTAAAATGAAAATATTCATCCATCACATCGGATGCTATTCGCGATGATCTATATCAGCTGAGATATTAGAATGTAGACCTATTGACTAGAAAGCAGGTATGCTCATCATAAGACGTTAAGTCCGTGGATTCAGTTCTCTATCAACACAAAACTGTTCATGCCCCAGGTGTTCAGAACTAGGACAAGGTAACTCTTAGTCTCACTCTTGTTTTCAATGGATGAATACTCATTCAAAATAAAATAAACCAAGCTACCTTATATCATATCAATAACGGTTTAATTATATAATCCTTATACTATAAATGTTTAGAAAATTGCCCATCAGTTTAAGAGTTAGGTCATTTGTTTAATTTAGTGTTGAACGACTCGTGGTGCTATAACTTAGTATTCTAACTGTTCACCACACAGTTTTGCTATTTCATATTCTGAGAAGTATTTTTGAAGAAAATCGAATGTTCAGGCAATTTAAATGGTGAGCGACAACTAACTTAATTCTATAATGATCTACACTGTTTGCGCTTTATAAACTAACTAATGCAATCTTAACAGCAATCCAGTTGACATTCTACTGTTTGGCTTTAGTTGTTTTCAGCTAATGAGTAGGTTTTCAAACCGTTACTCATTTTTACCACGGTTCTAAATTATTTAAAATTCATTTCATAAAAAATTGTTTTCAATTTATTTAGGAACTGTTAAACTAGTCAAGATGAAACTTCTCTTTTTTGACAGGTTGAAGTTAATCCTTTTGGTGAGACAAAGGATGGTCAGATTGTATGTTTTGATGCTAAATTAGCTTTCGACCAGAATGCAATATACCGCCAACCAGAAGTTCTTAAAATGGCCTTGGATGTTGAGGCTGTTGAAGTGGCTGCTTCTGGTCCGAAGAGTGCAGCAGCCTTAGAAGCAGATGCTACACACAATGGTTTAAACTATATTGGTTTAGACGATGGGAATATTGGTTGTATTGTCAATGGAGCTGGATTGGCTATGGCTACTATGGATTTGATTCATTATCATCATGGTAAACCTGCTAATTTTCTTGATCTGGGGGGAAGTGTCACCATGTCTCAAGTTGAAAAAGCATTCCACATACTTGCCAGTAAGTAAATTACCGGTACCTCATTTCGTTCTTTTTATTAATCTCATTTATCGACGATTGTTACTCTGGTACTTAGATCTTTTAGTAAATACTATCAATTAATTAGTGCAACGTAGATGCTTCAGTAAGAGTTATGCTAATTTAATGAACCATAACATAAGTTTTACTGATTTGCTCTCTTTAATCTTATAGTTTAAACGTACTATCAGCCTTTATTTTCATGACATATGCATACCAATCTTTGATTCGGGACTTCTTTAGTGTTTATTTTTAAAACTTATGAAGTATATTTCTCTCAGTCTTAAATTATCATTAAAATCCCTATAACAGATAGTAAATTGTTCTACAAGCTCATAACTTCCATTAGCATATCTTAGTTGATGAGATTATATACTGGGATGGGGTTCGGACTTGTTATTGTTAAAATCCCGTTGATATCCTTTGTTTTTATTTTTCGAAATAGATGACAGATTGTTGCCAATCTTAACTTAGGTGTGGTAGTTGGTATATAAATCATAAAATATTTTGTCTCGTACAAGTGTTTTAGGACAAGAGAAAATGTGGATGAAAATTATACTTTGAAGAATAACTTATTTCTGTTTTAAATGTAAAGACCAACGATTTGTTAGTCTTCTAATTTTTTTGTACTTGAAGTTTTGACTATTACTCTGAAGAAGTCCAGGCAACTTTTCCTTCATTCTAAGTTTACATGCCTAATAGTTGGTCAATAAAATTCTGTTATTTACTTAACATGTGTATCATCAAGTTTAGGGTTTGTTCGGTATATCTAATGTACTTTAAAAAAAACAGGTCGGGTTCAAATTTTATGTCAAATTGTTTTCTACTGTAGTAAATTTTTCATCCGATCTCCCCCTCTGTAGGAGACTCCCGAATTGATTGCATTCTGGTGAATATATTTGGTGGGATCGTTAACTGTAAAACAATTGCTGAAGGTCTTATATCGGCTTTAAAGAATGGTATCGTTAATATACCGGTTGTTGTTAGGCTTCAGGGTAATAATGCTGTCGAAGCTCAATCCCTTATTTCTAACAGCGGTTTAGAGTTGGTTGCCGTCAACAGCTTAGAAGAAGCGGCGTCACTTGCAGTTTGGAAAGCAGCGTGCATACGTGATAACTCCTTAACCTGTGATTCAGTTGCTTAATTTTATGTATTTATGCATGTATAATATGCAATTCACTTTTCTCTGTGCTTCCATCTAATCATTCAAAGTTGTATCTATTTGGCGACGTCGTTGAGTGCTTTTCGTTCTAACATTACTTGCTACTTTACGAAGTAAATCATTTCAATGTATTTACATAGACAACTAAAAATTTCAAATGAATTTACTATCTTACTTCCAACGCTTTTACTTTGTTCACTATGACTTATCTCCCAAATAAAGGTTTGGCCACATATTGTGAAATAAAAATTTTCACTATGATTACAAACGATTTTTCTTTTCCTGTCTTTGTCATGCGGCATAGTTAAGTTCGTCTTAATTTTCGGATTATTATGCTTTCTGCTTGTCATCTGCTTCGTAAGCATTTTTTCAGTATGACTGGGTTGTTTGATAAGAACTGACCGGATATATCAACTTCCCAAACTCTCATTTGTGCATAAATTAACCTTTTTGAAACTGACCCCTTTGTAATTAGATATTACGGAAGATCACACTGAAAAGTATTTTGAAATGTACTGTAAAACAAAACGTTTTAAGACTACTTGTTGCTTTATTATAGGAATATGACTACATAATACTCAAGATCTCCATGGTGAAAGCTTTTTCAAACCGTCTGGAGAATTCTTAGTTTTTCGTTTTAGGATGTAGGATTTAGTTCTGTCCTATTCCACAGACAAAACTCCGTTCTGTGAACGACTTTCGATACAACGGACATTGTAACGGTTCTTCAGTCAAACACTATTAAGTAGGTTCGTTTATGGCTATCTACCATAAGTACTGTCCTTTTTCTATGATCGCAGACATCTCTGCATCTAGATTCTTAGTGATTCCCCATCCTGAAAACACCCCAGTATTTGAAGGGAGATCATAGAGGCTAATTTCCTCTATATCTGACTCCAATAAATAGTATACCGTTAATTGGGTATTTAACGCAGGCTAAATCTCCTAGTAGAATTATGGAGTTAAACGATATTATTCAAAAGCCTGAACACCAGTTATAGAGATAGTTTATTTCCAAAGATTGTTAAAATCCGCAAGCACACAGGGAAACGAGTATGTGTAAGTGTTAAGGATCCATATATATTTATGAGTGTTAATTGGTTATGGATAAGTTATTGATTGTGTGTGTGTTACAACCAATTGGAGAAAAGATTAAAGATTGATGTGCGGATACGCGCGCAATCAGACTCAAACAGAAATTTACATAGTTGATTAAGTGTCTAAATTACAGTGAGCAGACAAATAATACAATATTTGGTGGGCTTACTACAAGATCTAGTAGGAAGCACGCTCTTTTGGACGCATTTATTAATGATGCGAAAATGTTTTTTGTGCGATCTCCTTTCTCTGAATCCAAAATGCTACCTCGTAACTTCTGTGTAAAAGTCTGAAGTGGTTATATGTAATGATGCCATTGCGGGCGGTGGTCGCTTAGACTAGCTTAAAACATAAGCCAGCCCAGACGAGATCTCGATATAAATGAAAAAAATCTAATTGGAGTCCGTCCAGTTTTATTCTAGACAGGATATCTACCCACTAAAACCCGAATTTTCAGAGCGGCGATTGACTCTACTACTCTGTAGTCGTATAATATGGTTTGTATAAGTAGGGAACGTGGGTCGGCTGTATATTTCTGATCGCAATTATTGTGAGATTAGGAAGAGTGCAGTGGTTATGTAGGGTGCATACTGCCACTCGAAGCGTTCAATTAAATTTGACACTTCATCACTAAAGTAGTCAGAAGGCTAGAGGCAGTCATACCGAGGACACAGTTTACTCGTCTTTTTTCAGCGTAATTTACAATGTGGTTGAAAATGTTAAATATTCTAAAGTCATTTTCAGATAAATTCTTTACATTTTCATCTATATATTGATCTCTAAAATCATTTCATTATTTACCGTACGGATTTTTTCTCCAAAAATCATTTTTCATCTACGCAATTCTACTATTACTGATACAACCCTAAGCAACACAACATCAATCTGAATATATACGAATATTCGTCAAGATTAGATCAAATAGTTTGACAGAAATTGATTTTGATTGTTACCCTGAAGAAGTCCAGACAAGATAGCTGGACGAAACGTTGGAATTATTTAAATTTCAATCGCTGAAATTGTTTCGAATATAATTTTCACATATAATGATTAATCTGATTAGTTTCGTATCATTGCCCGGTCTGATATCGATGAACATTTGTTCATGATAAATAAATAATATATTTGTAATATCCCAATGAGTAGAAAATTAGATTTTCTGACGTTTCGTGGCTTAGTGTAAGTCACTTCTTCAGAGAATAAATAATCAAATTAAAATTAATCCAAGTTTAAATAGTACAACTTAACAATACAAGAATAATATTTGATCAATCAAAAAACAGATATGAACAAGTTGATGTCATGTCATTTGTGTCAAGGTGATTCATAAGTGATATGTATGTGAATTTGCATGTGTATTTATGTGTGCATTGTTTAAGAATGAAAAATTGTGTGACCTTCATGGTAAGATGGGATAGAGTGTAAATTTGTAATATGATAGTGTGAATTTGTAAATATGATCAGACTGAGTGGCTAGGATAAATGGTCCAAGTAGGATGTATTTGATTGATCAAATATTATTCTTGTATTGTTCCGTTGTACTATTTAAACTTGGATTAATTTTAATTTGATTATTTATTCTCTGAAGAAGTGACTTACACTAAGCCACGAAACGTCGGAAAATCTAATTTTCTACTCATTGGGATATTACAAATATATTATTTATTTATAACAATCAACCCAATGCTCAATTTGTTCGAAATTATCAAATCAAACCTTGGTAATGATACCTATTTGTTCATGATGTTCAAGTTGCTTACTATCTGACAACTAACTATAAATCTATTGTGGTTATATTTTGCCGCGTCATATGTCTGACCTATCGAACACTTGAGTGCCACGTTATCGGCAGTCTATGAGAAATTACATGTCTTACCGCTTAATACTAACGAAGGAACTTGTCGACAGGACAGCAAAAAAGTTACAATTCTTATTTAAATTCAATAATTTATTATTAGATTTTGTGACTACAACAAATAATGAGTTTGTGATGTAATGGCCTTATTGTACTTCAATTTTGCAATCGCAAGCCTTTCATTTTTTAAACAAATTGATCGAAACTGTTCAAAGACAAATCAGGATGTTTAAGTCATAACAGTGTGATAAATAAATTCTCCAAACTAATAGTCCTCTGTGTCTTTGACAACGGTACTTAACTCAGTAGTTTCACTGGACACCCCAGCTTAAGGCGCTCGATCAAAAATCTGCAGCGGATCACCAATAGGTTCGCCATTCTAGCCATACGTACTTACGTCATTCACCATTCAAGAAGGAGCATAGGCCTCACCAGCATTCTACATGCAACTCTGCCTTGAGTAATACTTTCCAGTCGCTGTTCATCTTTTTCATGTTTGCTTCCAATTCTCTATCCAGTGTGCTCTTCGGCATTCCTCCTTTCCGTTTCCATTCGGGATTCCAAGTTAGCTCTAAGCTCGTGATGCAGTCTAATGATTTCCAAAATGTACGTCGTATCCACTTCCAGTGTCTTTTCCTAATTTTCTCTCCAAACGGAACTTGGTACGTTCCCTCCCTCAGTGGGCTGTTGCTGATGGCGTCTGGACAACGAGCACTGTGTACCTTGAGTGAACCTTCGTTTATAAATACTTGTACCTTTTTGATGATGATTGTGGTAGTGATGCAAATTTCGGCTCCGTACAAGAGGACTGTCTTTATATTTTTAATGAGGATTCTGACTTTGATATCCGTTGACAGTTGTTCCGAGTTCCATATGTTTGTAACAGCTTAGGTTGATTGGTTAAGAGTTGATCTCAAGCAACTAAGCATATGTCAAAACAGCATAGTTCAGATATTTATTCACTTCTTTATTTTGTTTAGGTGTTATATTTCTAATTATCTTATATTGTATGTTGAGAGGTTTTGTTTGTCTGAATAAGAAATCCCACGCTTGACTGTGACTGCGCGAAAATCAAAATAAAGACCTATTTCCTACTAGTCTGTTTTCTTCTATTAATAACACGAGGGTTACCAATAGGCACGAAACTGGTGAGCCCGACATATGTTTAGTTACTTGAGATCAACTCTTAACCAATCAACCTATGCTGTTACATGTTCTTCAATTGTGGGAGTTCTGTTCTTGCTTTGTCAATCCCCGACTCTACGTCTGCATCAGATCCTCCTTGTTCATCGATGATACTACCCAGGTACATGAAGGTTTTCAAATCTTCCAGCGTTTCTCCATCAAGTGATTGGCTTGGTGTTCTCCATGTTGTATTTGAGGATCTTGCTTTTCCCCTTGTGTATGATGAGGCTCTTTGATGCAGAGGCTGCTGCTACACTTGTTGTCTTTAAAAACACTTTTTCGTGTGTATGAGATAGGTCTTGATAATCTGCGAAGTCCGAGCCATCTGGATGCATCCAATCTGACAATTGTATTCCGTGCTTCCCTTGAGATGTGGAGGTCTCCATAATCTTGTCAACCACCAGAAGAAATAGGAAAGTAGAGAGTAAGCAGTCTTGTCTGACTCCGGTCTCTACTTGAAATGCGTCTGTCAGCTGTCCTTCATATACCACTTTGTGCTGTAGTTTGTCTTATGAATTCCGGATGATGTTAACCACCTTCTTAAGTAGACCTTAGTGTCGAAGATGGTTTCATAATATCATCCAATCTACACAGTCAATGATGTTGATTTATAATGATGAGTTTCATTCAACTTATGGCTCAACGATGTTCTGTATTTTCGTAATTTGGTCTGTGCACGACCGTTTCTTGCATAATCCAGCCTGTTGGTCTCGAAGTTGGGCGTCTACTGTGTATTCCATCCGGTTCAGCAACATTCTGTTGAAAACTTTTTTTGATACTGACAGTAGTATGATGCTTCTGTAGTTCTAACATTTACTCAGATCTATTTTATTTGGTATCTTGATGAGGTGTGTTTTTTCCAGTCCGTCGGCACTTATTCATCTTTCTGCGTCTCCCTGAATAGATTGTGGGACATGTTTGCAGCTACTTCTATGTCTGACTTTACTGTTTCAGCAGGTATATTGTCGAGTTCTGCTGCTCTCCTACTCTTGGTTTGTCTGATAGTCATTCTGAATTTTTAGACTATTAGTGATGTGACATCTATGAGGATGTCTATAGGTGCTTTTTTCATCTGGTGATTTCAGTGGAACTTTCCCATTCAAGAGTTCCTTGAAGTATTCCATCTGTCT